AGAGAGAGAGAGAGAGAGAGAGAGAGAGAGAGAGAGAGAGAGAGAGAGAAAGAATCCTACCTCAATAAATAGGGCGTGGTTGGGGAGAATACTCAGTTACTCACTGTTGATTGAGCGTGTGTGTTTGTGTGTGTGTGTGTTTGAAATCTTTTCCCCCTAGTATCCTCATTTCAACTCTGTGATCTAGAGCTCAGTGCTCAATAGTCAGACTCTGCTAACTGCTGCCTTGCTGTTTTTCATCACCAGGAGCGGCAATAATAAACAGAATTCTCTGTGTATCTGATTCCTTGAACACTCGGGACCACCACACCTCAGATTGTCATGTTCCTTTACCCACAATCACTCATACTATTCATCCCAGCCTCTGTTAACACTCTCTCTTCAAAGGACATTTCCTGACCACAGCATTCAGAGTCCAGTCCCCCAACCATACCCTCTCTTCTTCATCTACCTGATTCCTCCCCACCACTGTATACTTATAGAGAATCTCCACCACTCATTAGACAGTGCTCAGCCAGCATCCACTCAACAACTGTAGCCACAACTCCCCACTCTGACTGTGGGGACACACTCTGCCATGGTACCCTGCTGCTGCTGCTCTTCCCTGGTTGGCCTGTGGACAAGGACATTCCTTGATAATGGCTCTTGAGCTACTGGGGAAAAAACAACATTGAATCCCAGGCCCAGAAACTCTGTTTCTCATGCAGAAGGCTTAGACCTCAGCTGACTGTGTGCACCTTTTCTCCTAAGAGTGGGTCTAAGAGTTGTGAGATGCAGGACTGGAGATGTAGCTCAGTCGGTAGAAGGCTTGCCTAGGACACAGGAAGCCATGTGTTTGATGCCCAGTACCACAAAACCTGTTTGTGGTGGCATGTACCTATAATCATAGCATTTGGGAGGTAGAAGCTGGAGGATGAGAAGTTCAGGGGGTCATCTTCAGCCATATAATGAGTTGGAGGCCAGCCTAGCCCAACAGTAGAGAAATAGAAGGGAGGTACACTCAGGTAGATCTTAAGACCAGAAATTTGATTCATAAATGCTTTCATTCATTCATTGAGAAAGCTTCTGGTTGTGTAGCCATAGCTGGCCTAGAACTCACTATGTGAATCTGGCTAGTCTCAACTTTAGAGAGATCTGCTGCTCCTGCCTTCTGAGTGCTGGGATTAAAGGTGTACACTACCAAGACTGTTAATAGTGCACCAAGACTATTTATTTGTTTTTTATTATCCTTTGATAATTTTATTCATGTATATCCATTATTTCACCCTCCATTACCCTCCCTTATTCTCTTCCCACTACCAAGTACCCCTCCTATATTCATGTCATGTCTTTGTTTTGCAGTTTTGTGACCACTCAGTTTAATTAGGTTTGCTTGCATAAGCATAGGACAGGGATGGTTATTTACTGGAGCATGAGCAACTTACTGATAGCTATACCATTGAAGAATATTAACCCCCTCTGCCAGGGGGTTAATGCAGAAAGCTATAGCTCCTCAGAGACTCAAGAGGCTATCAACTACCAAGGGCTCCTCTGTTGAGGACGCTAGTCTTGTGCACGTCTTGTGCTGTGTATTTATGAATTCTGGGAGTTCATGAGTGCAACGGCCATGTCATGTCCAGAAGCCTGCATTTCATGGCACACCTCCCATTCCTTAGCTCTTTCATGCTTTTTATCCCATCTTCTGCGATGTTTTCTAAGCCATGGAGAGTGCTGTACAGTTGATCTTAGCAGGGCAGAGTGTTCAACAGCTACTTATTTTCAGTACTTCAAATATCAAAAGGATTTTGCTTTTGAAAGACCTCAGAAGAGGTACTTTCGTAGAAGGAGACCCGCACCCAGGAATCAGCGAAACCACGAACTTTGGATGCAAAAGCAAGAGGCTTTATTAGTAGCGCTGGTACCCGGGGACTTAGCTTTTGTTAGGCTAAGCCCCCAGCCCCGGAAGGGGAGTCCTTTTATAGGGGAAAAAGGCACCGTAATAGTCAGGCGAAACGGCCTTTATCTTTTGCCGGTCCAGATGGCTGACCTTGGGACGGGGCGGTCCGGCGGGGGCCGGGGCCGGCCTTGCGCGGCGGCGGGGAAGTGCCGGCAGCTGTGGGGATCAAGGGTCAGGGGGTGCAGGGGAGGATGTATT